TTTTTTTGCAGTTCATGCACCATTTTTTGCCATGATTTTATGAATTTATGACTTTCTGCTCTGATTTAACACTTTCAGGTCTTAATTTGTGTCATTTGTGCAATGAAGCCCCACAGAAACCCTGAAACATTACTGTTATTTCAGCATGTTTTCCTTCAGGTCCTCTAGCCCTGTTGTAGCCTGTGGGTTACAGACTGAATGCTCACCTTGACGGCCACCGATCGTGTTTCTGGGAACTCCAGCAGATGGAGACTGAGATCCTCCACCCGACGGATGTAGAGCCGCACGTCTGACGCCCGGCGCAGAGCCTGAACCAGAGCCCGAGTCCGGTTATCCACGCTCACCCGCGCCACGATCTGAAACACAGCCCAATCAGAGATCATTCTGTGAGTGAGGAGCCGTTAACACCAACAGTGAAATGATGCACTGCCTCGGTCGTTTAGATCTCAATTATGTGTAAATGTGTAAGCTAATACACACATTTTCAGAATCAGTGTTGAGGGTAATGCATTACAAGTACACCGAGTTACGTAATCAGATTACTTTTTCAAGTAACTAGTAAAAGTAAAGCATTATTTTTTAATTTACAAGAAAATATCCGAGTTACGTTTTCAAATAAGTAACGCCAGTTACTTTGTTTCTCATGTACTGACTGGCAGCTCTCCTGTCCTCATGTTGAGGGGAATCAGGAGTGAGTGCAGAGACGCTGTGTGAACATGATCTTACTGTAGTTCTAGACTAGATGTCAGCATGTATTCACTCATCTCACTCACACAAAAACAGATTCAGTATTCCTCAAAATCAATAAAAAGTCAAATGCAAACTCAGAATATTACGCAAACATGTTAAATAACACACATATCCTTTATGTATTTAATCCCATTTTATTAACCAATATCTTTGCTGCTGACCTTCGATGATCAACCATAATAAGCAAAAATGACTTTAGATAAACATAAAATTTGTGTTTCTATTATTTTTTTTTGTTTCTGAAGAGAGAAAAATGAGGCTAAGGCAGATGAGAAAAAGTAACGCAAAAGTAATGTAAGGCATTACTTTCCATAAAAAGTAACTAATTGTGGCTATTTGAGACTTTATCCAAATATTTTTGTTGAAGGTTAGTATTTATTTGTTTTAAACAATTTTTTTAGATAAACAAAAATGAAAGTGGTCAAAAATGACCAAAAAGCATATAAGGGCTGTAGAAACTCTTCGAACAAGAATGAAAATATCAGTATTATTTGCGTCATTCAGAATCCATATGCTGCTCATTAATTTGTGGAATCATTTTGTGCAAATGAGTGATTTTATGGAGCTTGTGTTGAGTGTTTGTCCTTCATGGTAAACAGATAGGAGTACAGGCTCATGTCTATATGATTGAACACTAATTAATAACTTCACTGAAGAGCTGTGAATCGAGTTATGATCATCTCTAGGGTCTGAGGGGAGTTTATTTTTGACACGGCTTTCCTAGAAACGACCCGAACACATGTGACGACATGAGAGGATCACATTTCAGCAGATCAGCATGAGAAGCCTATGACACACGTGGACATCGAGCCCAGCATACACACTACTGTTCAGAAGTCTGCTTATTAAAATAAACCAATTCATCATTAAACTGATCAGAAGTGACAGTAAAGACATTTATAATGTTACAAAAGATTTCTGTTTCAGATAAATGCTGTTCTTCTGAACTTTCTATTCATCTGTGAATCCTGTGTTCAACATTGATAATAATCAGAAATGTTTCTTGAGCAGCATATTAGAACGATTTCTGAAGATCATGTGACACTGAAGACTGGAGTAATGATGCTGAAAATTCAGCTGCGCATCACAGAAATAAATTACAGTTTAACACATATTCACAGAGAAAACAGCTGTTTGAAATTATAATATTTTTTCACAGTTTTTACTGTATTTCTAATCAGATAAATGCAGCCTTCACTCTTAAAATAAGTTTCTTTATTGGTTCCATGAAGAATCTTTAACATCCATGAAGTGGAAAAAATACATTAGATTAATAAAACATTCTTTACACTAAAAAAATTTGGTCATTTTAGGAACGATTTTTTGAGGAACCAAAAATGGTTCTTGTATTCTTTTTGGAAACTTGTTTTAAGAGTAAAGGCATGTGTAAAGCCAAGTTAAGGCTGCTCTGTGTCTGCTCAGAATCATGTGTAAAGACATAATGCAGCATAAAAGACAGTCTAAAATATGCCTGTTCTGTCTAGGGTTGGGTACCGTTCACATTTTAACCGGTACGGTACCGGTATCGGTACCTGAATTTCGGTGCCGGTACCTTTTTTCGGTACTTTACTCTCTGTGTAATTACAAAAACATTTATTTCAGTGAAAAAATAAGTCCAAAAGTCTAAATTTCAACATTTTGAACAATAGGGCCCTACAAACTTTTTCTTTCTTTCTTTCTTCCAGAAATTCTTGTTTTAATATTTCTGAAAATCAAATGAAGGCATTAAACATTTATTTTAAATCAAATGAAAATTAAACCCTTTTATTTTTTGGCAAACAAACTGAGGTTTACTGTTGAAAATAATACATGGAAGAAAAAATTTGTGAATATTCCTTTAAAACATTTTTTTCTGTCTCTGTAGCGTATGCGCCCAGATGCGTTCTCAGGTACCGAAATTTGGCACTGATTGATTTAACGTGAATAGGTACTCTGTAGTACCGATGCAATTCGGTCGGTACCCTTAAAAGTACAGAGTTCGGTAACCAACCCTAGTTCTGACCCACCTCAGGATCAATGCATTCAGTAATAATAGCTGTGTAAATGCATTCATGCCATCTCTGAGCAGCATTAAAGGAGTAGTTCACTTCCAGAATAAAGATCTCCTGATAATTTACTCACCTCCGTGTTATTCAAGATCTTCATGCCTTAATAATCCTGTTCATGCCAGTCACAAAGAAATTAAGGTTTTTGAGGAAAACATTCAGGGTTGTTCTCCATATAATGGACTTCAATGGGGACCAACGGGTTGAAGGTCCAAATCACAGTTTCAGTGCAGCTTCAAAGAGCTCTACACGATCCCAGCCGAGGAACAAGGGTCTTATCTAGGGAAACCATCACTCATTTTCTTAAAAAAGGAAACATTTATTTAGTTTTTAACCACAAATGCTGGTCTTGCACTAGCTGGACTTCACGCATGACGTTATCACGTTGGAAAGGTCGCTCATGGTTAGCTCTTCGTCTGTGTGCTCCGGTTCAGAAAGAAAAACTCCATCTCATTTTCTCCCCAAACTTCAAAATCATCTGACATCGTGTTTTACCTTTTTTTTTGTAAAGGGCATTTGACTTTCTCTGCACATTTGCTTTGTAAACACTGGATCGGTGCTTCTGCTTTCGTCACGCGTGACCTTTCCAACGGGATTACGTCATGCGTGAAGTCCAGCTACTGCAAGATGAGCATTTGTGATTAAAATGTATATCAATTACATTTTTTAAAGAAAATAACCGATGGTTTCTCTAGAAAAGACTCTTATTCCTCGGCTGGGATCGTGTAGAGCTCTTTGAAGCTGCATTGAAACTGATTCGGACCTTTGGTCCCCATTGAAGTCCATTATATGGAGAAAAACCCTGGAATGTTTTTCCATGACACGGGGGCGAGTAAATTATCAAATTATCATTTCTATTCTGGAAGTGAACTACTCCTTTAAACAGTCTGTGTAAAGACGCCTAAATGCCACTTCAGAAACGCCTCGGTGGTGTAAATTGGGCATAAGATACTTCTTTCATAAACGTTCAGAAATCTCAGTAAATGTTTGATTCCACGCGTACCTTCTCTCTCTGGAGCTGCAGGCGTCTGGCTCTCTCCTCCGCCGCTCTCTGATCTTCACTCTGGACCGTTTCCTTGCGTTCAGCATCATCAGAAGCAGCTTCATCCGCCTCCACCGACGTGCTTTTGGGCTCCGTTCTGAACCGGGGGACCAGCGGCGTAATGTAGTTCCCTATGAAGCCCTGGACGCTCGGCGGCGAGTAGTTCAAGTAGCTCCCGAGTCCTTTTCCGAGAGAGAAAGAGGGTTCGGCGCGAGGCGTTTCCGGGCGAGAGGACGTGGGCTGGGTGACATCTGGGCCGGGTTTAGTTAAGCTGCTGAAGTAAGAGTTGATATGCTGAGACACATAGTCGTAAGTCTCGCCCAGATAAACGCTGAGGGAGCCTGGGTGGAAGAGGGGCGTGGCCTGTTCGGTGGGTGGAGCCTGTGGTATAGTGGGCGGGGCTGTTCCAGTTACTCCGCACTCCCTCTCTTTCTGTACCTCAGTTGCCGTTGCAACAATTGCTGAGGGCGGAGCCTGTTGAGTAGTGGGCGGGGCTGCTCCGGTCACTCTGCACACCTTCTCTTCCTGGATCTCAGTTGTCGTAGCAACAAGTGTGGGGGGCGGAGCCTATGACAAAACAGGTACAGGATTATTATAGTTAAATAAAACTAAAATCAAAATCCTAAAAACCATTTCTGCTACATAAAATAAATGTTAAATTAAATTTGTTATATATATATATATAAGAACTATTTCAGCTAGTTTCCAAGGCAGCATTTCTCATTTTCATGTAGTTTAGCTTGATGCACTAAAATAACTAAAACTAAAATGGAATTAACATTAATATTTAAAAACAACAAAACTAATAAAAATGATAAAAAACAATACAATTACTAAGTACTAAAATTAAAATGAAAGAATAAAAACAGAAAAATAATAAATAAAACTAAAACTAAAATCATTAAAAAACATTTATATATTAAATATTAAAATAAATGTTAAATAAATAAATAAACTATAAAAAATGTAAACTATTTTAAATTATTTTTCCAAGCTTAACTTGATGTACTAAAATAACTCAAACTTAAGCAAAATTAATAAAAGCTACATAGACATATTTAAAAACGAAGAAAAAAACACACAACAAAATCATTAAAACTTTAACCAAAATTAACATGAAAGCAGAAAATATAAAAATAAAATCGAATTCAAAATATTAAAGGAGTCCTATTATGCTTTTTCACATTGGTGTGTAATGTTGTTTTTTGAGCTTAAAAAAAGATCTGCAAGGTAATCTGTAACAATTATCCAGCTGATACAAGGTTACAAAGTCCACTCTAAAAGGAGATCTTCTCACTTTTCAAGAACTACAGCAAACAGCTCGTTCGGACTACAGCGCACTTCTTCTGGATACTGTGACATCAAAGTCACTCATTTACATAATCCCCGCCTACAAAATTTCCGAAAAGGGGGCGTGACCTGGTTAATTTTAATTTGTTAAAACATAATTAAAAATAATTTCTGTATTTATTTTTATTTGTCTTACTAAATTCAGTTATTTATTAAATATATACACGTATAAATATATTTTAATTTATTCGTTTATATGATTAGTAATGAAAGATTTATTTGGTTTAATAGTAATAATATTTATTTTATTTGTAATAATAATTTTGTGTGTTTTGATCATATTTATTTATTTGGTTTAATACTAATACTAATAATAATAAAAAGTAATAATAATAAAAATAAAGGCGTGGCATTTCCGGAACACACTCTAAGCTGTTCACCAATCACAGCGCACTGGGCCAGCACTGGGACCAATCAGAGCACATTTCATATTTCAGAAGGAGGGGCTTCATCGAAACAGGAACTAAACAGCGCGTTTAAGAGGAGAGGTGCTGCAATAATGTCAAATATGTGGAAAATAATGCATTTTTGGAACAATCCTATTCTAGTACACCCCAAAAACCAAATCAACACTGTGTAAAAGAGCATGATAGGGTCCCTTTAACAATCTGAATGATGCTGAAGTAACACTGAACAGCAGGCGGGCTCGAGGTCTCCTCGGCTATGAGTCGCGTCCCACTCGCTGCTTTCCAGGCTGAGTCCAGAACGCTCCTCAGACGGGACGCGTGATATCTCAGGTCGGCTGCCCCGCGGCGCGTCGACGTGCTGAAGGCGGAGACGTTTGCGTACGATCCTGCCCTGCAGAACCAGAACCTCCGGCTGCGCCCGGGCCTCCAGCTCTTCCTACAGGTCGGGCTCCTCAGCGGGGATGCGGACAGGACGGCGGACACAGGTCCCGGTCTGTGGCACAAACGCAGTGCGCAGCCGTCCAGCAGGCAGACCACGGTCATGGTGACGGTTCTTCAGCTCACTTTCAGAAAGCTCCTCATCAGCCTGTGAACAACAGCAGCATCAGCACAACATGACAGCACGCCACATTTCAGCCCCAGGTCAAGCCACTGTGCCAATGTTTTCATAACAACAGTACGTACGGTATTACTGTAGTGCAATACTGAGATTCTTATTCAAATCGGCATAACATAATCGTAACGCTATAATAAACGCTACATTTTCACTTGATCACACATAAAAAAACAATTAAAAAGTAAATTTTAAAAAATCATAAATTGTTAAAGTTTGATAAATTGAATTGATTAGACATGCTTTTTGATTATTAAATAATCAATTATAATTTTTTATTATAAATTTAATTTAACAATTAAAATGGAATCTAAAAAAATTAAAGTGAAAAAAAAAAAAAAAATGGAATCCAAAATAATTAAAATGGAAAAACAAGGGAAAAAAATGTTTAAGGAAATTAATTGTAACAGTATAATAAATGTTACATTTTAATTTGATCACATTTTAAAACATTTATTAAATTGTTAATGTTTTATGCCTTCATTTGATGCGCACCACAATTTCTGATACATTTGCATTAAATCATAAATACAAAAACAGATAACACAGAACTTCTGAACAAATAAAACATTTCCCATAGCCATATTACTGTAAAAAAAATCATAAATTGTTATATAAAAAAGTTTTATAAATGTAATTAATTAGACATGTTTTTGTTCAATAACATCTAAATTAAGAATTAAAACGGAACCTAGAAAAATTAAAATGCAAACAAAAAAGGGGATTCCAGAATAATTAAAATGGAAAAAAGTTAAGGAATATTAATTTTAACAGTATAATAAATGCTACATTTTCATTTGATCACATTTTAAAAGATTTATTAAATTGTTTTATGCCTTCATTTGATTTATGCCACCATTTCTGATACCTTTGTATTCAATCATAAATTCAAAAACAGATAACACAGAACTTCTGTACAGATAAAAATAAATAAAAAATAGAATCCAGAATAAATAAAATGAAAAAACAAAACAAAACTGAATTTAGGATAAAAACTAAAAGAGAATTTGTGAACTCATTGTCTGTTTTCTCATTCTTCTCAGCAGTTATCATTACTGTAATACAGTGAGATGCAGCAGACATACAGTCAGCTAAAGAAATATTACTACTACGACGCACACATATTTTACTAATATTGCATAGTTTCCAGTAATGAGAATTTAAATGTAATGTCCATTTTCTTGACAAGACTTGTTTTGTTAGATTCACCTTTGCAATTAATTGTAATCACAGTTTCCATTAAAATACAGTAGTTTCAGCATGTAACTTCAATAAAATCATCATAAATGCATTATGTATCTCCTTTAATGTGACTTTATAAACTAGAATTATGGTGTTGGTGTGTTAGAAATGAATTCCAGTAAATATGAACGTGGGATATAATATTGTATGAACAAAACACAACATAAAGATAACATTGCACCTGTAATTTATAACAGAGCATTAATTTCTGCCCAAAACAACGATGAAATATGAGAGTGAATGTAAATAAGGGACTTTTGAGCTTTAAATGTAGGACAATCTCACAGGGTCACGCCGATAAACTGAAGAAATCTCACACACAAGCAGTAAATAACAACATACCTGCTGGTTAAACGCGCATAATGAAGGCTGGGCGTCGGTTATTATACTAAGTTAGCTGGTTATTAACAGTTGTTTGCGGGTCATTCGATAAACACAGCGCGCACTTCCGCATTCGGCCACGTGACACCCAACGGCGTGTTTGATTGGGCGATCAAAGCTGTGACCCCAGTTCTGTCACCTTGCAGACTTTTATATCCAGGCCTGATTATCAGAGTTTAATGCTTGTTTTTCACCTGTGCTTCTAAGGTAGAAAATGTGGGAGTGCAATCAAAATGGATGAAATAATAAAAATTTCCCCTAATAAAGGTATACAAGAAGACTGTTACAAGCAAAATTAAGTATAAAAAGTACCATTTTAAAATACTTTGCCTCAAACTGTATTTAATAATTATGTAAAATGTAAATAATTATTACATTATGTTTTGTTTGTCATGTAATGGATGGAACCAGCTTTTTTACTTTGAATGTGCAGCACTTACATTTAGTTAATTAAATCAAAGCCTTTTAAAGTTTATTATCTATCTGTTTATTATTAAGACCTCTTAAAATAAGACGTTTATTATGTCATTTAAAACACTTAAGACTTTTTACAATCTTAAATTTAATAAGTGATAATTCTCTACTTTTTAATGACCTGCAGGTTTTTTTTTAATTCATACACATGCTCCTAAATACATTCTACATTTTGCACACAATCTATTAATCTGTGTAACAACTGCGTGCTGCGTTGTGTGAACGGTTTTCAGATCAGGAATGCAGGAATTCACCGTTTTCGAAGAGACTCTGTCACGTCGCCCCATTTTGGGAAAGAGTAGAGAGAAATGCTCCTTATTTCCAGTTAATCCATCCCTGCTGAAAAAAGAAAAAGAAAAAAAAGGCTAAAACCAGCCTAAGCTGGTTACATGGTTATAGCTGGTCGTCCAGCCAGGTCATAGCTGGTCAGACTCAGAAGGCTGGTTTTGGTCACTTCTTTAGCTGGCCAGGCTGGTTTTTGTTGTTGTTTTTTTCCAGCAGGGATGCGTTTAAATTTCACACTTTTGGACTAAACGCCCTGAGGGACATTGTTTTGTACAGAGACTTTGACAAACATACAGGCTCATGTCATTAAAAGCATGGAATCTGATTTTGCATAATGTCACAATAAATGTTATAGTATTGCTGAGCTCAATCTGAAGCTTGAGGCTGGGATCTTTGCCCGTTTACCATCAGTTTGAGTCCGTTTCAGTGCACTTCTGACTGCAGCATCAAGTAGAGAAAAGTGCAGAACTGTGTAACGCTAGTGATGGAAAAATAAGAACACTTGAAGCCTTCGGTGAACCTTTATTGTGTAACTTGAATAATAAAACTAACACACACGGCAGCATTAGAGAGGCGAGGGTGGAGGTGATGGACACCAGAGGACCAGGCGTGGCAAATTCCCATTTCAGTGTCCAGATCTGTGGAACAAATAGCCATGAATTAAATCACATCTGATGCTTCAGCTTTTATGATCATGTGAGCCACAGCACTCTGAATATTTAACTCGCTTTATTTTTCCGGCGTCTCTTTCTACACCAATCAAATATGGTCACAGAAACGGTTTTAATAGCACTGATAATGTGACCTGGAAACAAAGGTGGGGCCAAAATCTAAATCATATCATGGGATCAACGGTATACAGTTGTGAACTCACAGAAACAAGCAGCAGCATCATGTTCTGGTCCAGTTTGTCCTTCATTAATGGCTTACCAATAATTTTTTGCATTTGAATGACGATTTTTTGTTCAAATTGTTCTGTTTAGGCCTAACGAGAAAACTGATCGGAGCACCGTTGATCTGGGCTCTCTTTCCCCATATTGCTCTGCTGAGGTCAGGATCTGGGCTTCATACTGGACAGTGACCTAAAGCTGAACAAACAAATTAATTCTACTGTGAGTGCTAGCTTCTACCATCTGCGAAGATTAGCAAAAGTTAAACCCTTCCTAAGCAGGAAGAGTTTTGAGATTGTCATTCATGCTTTCATTTAATCGCGACTTGACTACTGCAACTCGCTATATTATGGGCTGCCTGTCTCATCTATTCATCGTCTGCAACTTGTCCAAAACGCGGCTGCTCGTTTGCTCACAGGCAGTCGCAGAAGGAATCACATCACGCCTATCTTGCTTTCATTGCACTGGTTACAGATTAATTATCGCATCCAATTCAAAATTTTGCTATTCGTGTACAAAGCTCTAAACAACCTTGCTCCTCCATATCTCTCTGAGTTGATTATAGTACACAATCCAGCCAGATCACAGACTAAGCATCGGCTTTTGGTTCCCAGAGCTAGATTGAAATGCAGGGGTGACAGAGCCTTTGCTGTTGCTGGCCCCAAGCTATGGAACAATTTGCCATTATCCATCAGAATAGCTTCTTCAGTGTCTGAGTTTAAAAGTCTTTTAAAAACGTATCTTTTTTCCCATGCTTTCAATGTTTTGTGACTGTGGTTTTCTATTGACGTGTTTACTCTATTGTGTGATTGGATCAATGTAACTGTATACAGCACTTTGGTATACTAAGGTTGTTTTAAAGTGCTTTATAAATAAATTGAACATTGAACATTAATGAAGGCCACCTCCCGTCTCGTTCTCTGGCTGATTGTGCGTGAGAAACTGCAAAGAAAAAGAAATCCCAAATAGTTAGCACTAAATTACAAAAGGTCTTGTAAAACCTGTGTCTGTGTGTGTGTTCCTGAGGGGATGCTCTTCTGTCCTCCTGCCTCTCCTGCTCCTCCCTGACCTCCTTTTTGCTGGAGGCGCTCTTGGAGGGGAAGGAGCAGCGTCCCATCTGAGAGATAATCTGCGAGACACGTAATCTTCATGACAGTGAGGACACAATGAGTGTCTGTCTGTACGTCTGTACCCCACGAGTGTGTGCATTCTCACAGGCCAGGTCAGGTTTGTGCAGAACAGACTGAAAAACATCACAAAACACAGGTTTTATTGCAGCCAGGACACATTCTGTGTGTAAACATTCAGATTTTTGGTGGCTGTTCATGACTCTTACTGGTTTTCCAGGTGAGATCACAGTCTTCAGACAATAAGCAGCATCTCCTCAGCTTCCACAATCACATATATAAACACGAGCAGACATCACATTTCCAGCTGCAGCTCCTCCAGATCTTCTTATATAAGCAGATCTCTGCCACAGGAGAAAGAGAAACGCTCGACTTGAATCAGCTGTGCCTCATAATCAATCACGTTAAAGACTGGATTCTCTCCTGAATGAATCGTTTGAATCAATGACTCAATGACCCGCTCAGTAAGACAGTGACTAGTCGCCACCTGCTGGTGTTTTAGTTTCCTATTTAAAATAGCATTAAAAAATCCTCAATGTTTTAAAAACATTAATCTCATAGCATTATTTTTTGCAATTGCAGGGTTAATACATCTAAATGCTGCTTTATTATCTGAATGCAGCTTCTGCTATGGATTTTATTGACTCTGATTTAATTTGATTGATAACAGCTTATACAAACATAAAAAATCATCAAAACATATTTTATCATTTCTATACAGAAATAAAGGACCACAAATGTTGATTAGCATTGCATTATAAATATGCTTTTATATGAAAATACCCGATATGGCTTAAAGAGCACAAAATAGATCATATATTATCACAATCATGTGCCGTTTTACTAGAACTTCATAAGTTGTATCACTTCTGTGAGTCTCACTTGTGGACTTTCTGCACTAGAGTGTCTCCAACTCTGAGTATGAATGAAACAGACATTACAGGAGTGTTCAACAATGCTCTCATTGCACCATTCATTTGGCATTCAGAATATTTAACAAGCTTCACATTTGATAGGTGTAGAAATGACTGCACTGTTATGGTAGCAGACTAATAATAGCTAAATAAAAGAGATGCTGACTAAATGGTCTCAGAAAGTGATGACAATTTATTGCATTTATAATGTGACCTGGAAACAAAGGTAGGGCCAAAATCAAAACCAGTGAATACTGATCAACAGTTTACAGTTGCAAACTTACAGAAATGGGCAGCTGTTGAGAGAAACTTCAGCTCCTCAGTAGTTGTGTTTTCTGGTTGCATGGGGCATCCAGATTGACCTTCGTTAATGAAGGCTACATGAATTCCTTATGAATACACCTGCGAAACAGAACGGACTCGTGTGAATCATACAGAAGAAAAGCCAGTCAGCTGAGTTTGTGGCAAAACCTTTTTTTCAATGAGACATTCATTCAAACGATTCATTCAAGAATGTAGCAAGTGCCGGGGTGGTTGTGTCCGAAACCACATTCTTCTACTTAATTTCCATACCTAAATACTGCAACCCCCACCAACCTTTTCTATTCACAAAAACCTTTGTATTCTAGTGTTATTACTTTTCCATTCTACGCGATAATGTCTGTGTTTGGAGCATCTGATGCCTGTATGCACATAAACACCACTGACCCTCACAAACTTCTCAAAAGAACGCTTCTTCGGCAAGCATCTGTTATAAAACACTCGCTGTACGTTAATTTTGACGACTACGACACACCTGAATCTAAAATGTGAAGTCATGGACAAATCTGCTTATACTTTTGTTGTCAGAATTGTTGGCACCCTTGGTAAATGTGAACAAAGAAGCCTGTGAAAATTAATCTGCATCATTAATCCTTTTTTAACTTTTATTCAACAATTTCACAAAAACCTAACCTTTAATTGAAGTAAACGGTTGAAAATGGGGGAAATCTCATTAAGAAATAAATGTTCTTCTCTAATACACAGTGGCCACAATTAATGGCACCCTTTTATTCAGTACTTTGTACAACATCCTTTTGCCAAGATAACAGGTGTGAGTCTCTCCTATAATGCCTGATGAGGTTGTAGATCACCTGATCAGAGATCATTCCTTCATACAGGATCACTCCAGGCCCCCAGCTCCATGTTGATACACTCTCCTTTTAAGTTTTCTATATAGGGTTCAGGACAGGGGACAGGAATGGCCATGAACATGTGACCCTTTTTTGTGTGTGTGTATTGATTTGGATGTTTGTTTTGGATCATTGTCCTTTTGGAAGATCCAACCTTGGCCGATTAAGAGTTTCATCTGACCGTAGAAACCAGCCCCATTTGAAGATCCAGTAGAGTCTGACAGCTGAATATGCTGGAGTTTGTTTTTGGATGAGAGCAGAGGATCTTTGGCCACTCAAACTATCCTCCTTAAATAAATATCTTAATTATTGCCCTGATTGGGAAAATTGTAAATTGTGAGGTTTTATTTTTAATTTTTATGAAAGATCAAAGGGTAAACAATACAACTTTATTTTCACAGGCTTCTTTGATCATATTTAGTAAGGGTGCCAGTAGTTCTGACCACAACTGTAAGAATGAGAACGAGATACGTGGGATCTCACATGTGACTCACCATTATGTCAGATCCTACTTGCGCTCTGTCCAGTGATAAATGCAGTGCAAAAAATTTCTTTGGGAAAACTAGGAATTCAGCGGGGTGCTCTGGTGTAGCGGACGCTGGAGGGCGCTCTGGAGGGCACTTATGAGGAACGGGCTCTGGAGGGCGCTCTGGAGGAGCGGGCACTGGAGTGTGCTCTGGAGGGCTCATACGAGGAACGGGCTCTGGAGGGCGCTCTGGAGGAGCGGGCACTGGAGTGTGCTCTGGAGGGCTCATACGAGGAACGGGCTCTGGAGGGCGCTCTGGAGGAGCGGGCACTGGAGTGTGCTCTGGAGGGCTCATACGAGGAACGGGCTCTGGAGGGCGCTCTGGAGGAGCGGGCACTGGAGTGTGCTCTGGAGGGCTCATACGAGGAACGGGCTCTGGAGGGCGCTCTGGAGGAGCGGGCACTGGAGTGTGCTCTGGAGGGCTCATACGAGGAACGGGCTCTGGAGGGCGCTCTGGAGGAGCGGGCACTGGAGTGTGCTCTGGAGGGCTCATACGAGGAACGGGCTCTGGAGGGCGCTCTGGAGGAGCGGGCACTGGAGGGCTGAAGATGTGTAATGTATATTTTATGCAAAATGTTGCCATTTTATATTAAATTATACAAAATATAATATTGTATATACTATCATGATGACGCAAATAAAATAAAAAATCCCCCCAAACACTGCACAAGCTTAGAGAAAATGTGATAAAGGAGTAATATTACATATAGTAAAAATTAACTTTATTGTCTATGACTAAAATATTAAAATTGTGGGTGACATCTTCGTCACCTTTTTCAACCCTAGCCTGATTAGTTCACATCCATAATATTACAAAGAACTTAAATTTTAATGGAAAAGGAAAACCGACTGAAATTCTATATACCTCTGTCTTCTATTTTCAAAGGTAAGAATTATTTTTTAAAACATTTCAAGTGTATGTCTTTTTTTTTGTTTGTGGAACACAAAAGGAGAGAGAGGTATGGTCTCAGACACCATTAATTTATTGTATTTTTATAGAAAAGAAGCAATGATAGTGAATGGTGACTGAGGCTGTCAGTCTCTTAATGTTCTGCCTTACATCTCCTTTTGTGCCCCACTGAAAATAAAAGTCCCACACATTTGGTACAAAATAACATGATAGTTTTATTCTTGAGTAAATATAGCTTTTAATTTGTAACTTGAGACTGTTTATATAAGCCTGTAATTTACTTTATACCTCTTTGTGTGTATTTGAGTGTAAATGCCTTTTTTATGTTAGTCTAAGGTTTGTATGCTCTCACCATTTACATTTATTAATTTAGCAGACGCCAAAAACATGTATTTGTAACTGTTTATTTTGTATAAATAAAGAAATTATGACTGAATGTGATGCGTGTTTAATAAATTGTTACATATACAGGTTAATTTATCCATTAGCATTATGTATATGAGATTTTAATCTAGTTTAATCTGTTTAAATCTAGATTAAAAATCTCTTTGGCCAAGCATTCAAATAATGCATCTCATAAACTTGTACTGCAGTTATATCTGATCAAATGCACATTATTATTCTTTAGTTTGGGTTAAACAAATCAATTTTGCTTGGTTGGAACAGCAGCTACGCTAATTATGTCTCTATTTGTTTCTCTGTTTCTGCTGGGATTGACATCCCGTGTTAACTAGGATTTACACAAGCTTCAGTCTGGATCCAGAACACCTGAGAAGAGATGATGCCAACCCCTCAGAGGACCTCAGATGATGGCATCCCTGAAACAACATACAGAACTACCACATTTTGCTATAAATTTGATTGCATCATATAATAATTGCTGTTAATAGTGTTCATCGTCTGTTTGATTACGTCTTTAATTGATTTTTCCGTACATTTCTGCCATATGTACATTAACTGACAGTCACCACTGATAAGCTACCACTAAATATTGTAGAAACTTAATTTGCTGTAAAGTTGTATCGTGAAAAGCGCTATACAAATAAACTTGAATTGAATTGAATTGAATTTTTAAGTCATGTAGGAAATGTATTTATTGTATAACGTCGTTTTACCCGACTGAAATCAACATCGTTTCAACGTTAGGTAAGCAAACGAATTGCGTTGATTTTCCGTTAGTTTTTAATGGAGTACCTGACGTTGGTTCAACATACCCTGATGTGCAAAACGATGTTGGACGACGTCGGAGATCAACGTTGCTTCGATGCCACGAGAAACGTCGATTCTATGTTAATTCTATGTCAGTTTGCTATCTGGGTAGATATATTTCTCATGTCTGTGTGTCAAGTTGTGATGCCCCGGTCGCCCGTTATCTGTTGTCTTTTTTATGTGTGCGTGTGTGTTTAATTTCAGATAATTGGCTTTCTAATTATAGATTGGGAACACGGGTCCTAGAAGCTGACGCTGGCTCCGCCGCACGTGCTTTTATAGCTTCCTGGTCATGACGTCATCCGCCGTGACGTCCCGTTCAGCTATTGGACTGATTTCACATGTGATTCAGAGCGTGGGTCGCAGAAGGCGTTCCCCTAGCGTTTTCGACGCAGCGTCTCGTTCCCTCGAGGAACTAGGGTTACATACGTAACCTGAGACGGTTTCCTGTTCTAGTTAAGCGGCGTTCTCCCATCAGAGTTGGTGTCCATTCCTCCTTTGGACGCCGGCTTTTACGCTCATTCTGTTGTTTTGTTTACTTTTGGATCGAGCTGTGGTTATTTCTTTGTTGCTGATTATTTTTCTTTAATACGTTTTGTTATAAATAAAGTTAATCTTT